AGTCACCGGAGTAGGGGGGTGGTGCATGTGGGGTGGGTTTATTATATTATATTATATTAGAATTAAAAAAAAAAAAAAAAAACCTGATTTTTGAAGTTTCAAACTATAAACCTTATTTTTGAATTGGTGTAAAGAATACACCTTATTTATGAATTTTTCCCAAAAAGATACGCCAATTTTGATTGAGACCACGTTGCTTTTATTAAATTTTTTAAATAATTCAAATCATGACGTGTCACATGGAGTTAAAAGGAAAACAATTGATAAATAAAATGTCATCCATTTGATGTATATATTACGAAAAGGAAAGAGAACAATATTTGAAGATGAGATCAATTACATATATCACATAATATGACATGTATCCTTCTAACCCTCAATAGAATGGAAAATGTCAGATAAATTTTATTTGCAATAAATGAAGTTTCAACGACGTTTCGATCCTCGAACTTCAACTTAACTTTAATTGTTATTGGATTTCAATTTTAATATCTCCTGCAATAATTTTTTTAACATAATCAATCGTTGCATGACATGTCAGTACGCTTTGCCGTGCTTTTTAATATAAAATAAAAAACATGATCATAATCTTCATTTTAATAAAAAAAATTGGACAAATTAATTTTGGTTACTTAATTACAGATTTTCTTTTCCAAATAAGAAAATGATTATTTTAGTAGTTGAAAAGTCAAACTCAAAACTCACAAACGACGGGGGCGAATGACCCGACGCGGTCGAACCGCGTTTATGCTGTCCACCGCTCCATCCGAAGGTCCATATTCAGTTCCCAACCAATGTAAACCCTGGATCTAAATCCCAACCGCCCACGCCATGAATCTAGCCGTAATACCATCCAAATGGCCACTTTGCCACTCTAATCACTCCCTCTATATATTTGTCATTTGGTCACTCACATTTCAGCACTCTTTCTCCATCTTTACTCTCTATCTGCTACAAGTTTGAGGTTAGTCCTTCTCTCTGTGTGTATGTATATAGTTCTTCTTTGACTGTACTTGAATTGTCTATAAGAAATGGGTTTTGTGTATTCTTGCTGAGTCAGTATGATATTGTAGTTTTGAGATTAGTACTTGTTGTTGTTAATTGTTATGATGAATTCTTGAACCCATATACTCGTTGGTGGATAGATCTGTAAT